CCGCCCTGAACACAGTCACTTTCCAGGACAATCTTCCTTCCCCCTACCTCCCAGTGTCTTAAAGCATTTTTATTCGATCGTGTGTATCTGGAAGAGACCGCAGCTGCTCTCCTAAGGAAGCTTCCTCTTTGATCAAACGGACCGTCACCCCCTCGGAAAGAAAATCGCTGAAGTTTCGACGCCTTTTGTTTTTTTCCCAACGCCTCGCCAGTGACTGGGCTGCCAGATCCCCTCTGGATACATTCACGCTGCACTTGGCAAGGGCTCTCTGCACATTTTCTGACGGATCCACTTGGTCTTCGGCGAGGATGAAATGAACACGGCTGTGGAAACTGACGCGGTCGGGTTTCACTGAAACTGAGTAAAGCTGTCCGAACTGAGACAGAGTGGGAGACAGAGAGAAACACAGAGGGAGAGAGACAGATTGACAGACACACACACACACACACACACACAGAGGGAAAGAGAGAGACTGGGAGACAGAGACACAGGCAGACCTAGAGACACACACACACAGAGGGAAAGAGAGAGTGTGTGGGAGACAGACAGACAGAGAGATAGCGAGAAAGAAAGTGAGAGAGAGGCAGAGAGGTAGTCAGAGACAGACAGAGAGAGAGACACACAGGGAAAAGAGAGTGTGGGAGACAGACAGACACACAGAGGCAGAGAATGAGAGAGGTAGTCAGAGAGAGAGTGAGAGACAGAGTGGGAGACACACACAGAGATAGAGAGATACAATCAGAGGGAGACAGTGTGAGAGACAGAGAGCGTGGAAGACAGAGGAGAGAGAGAGTGAGACAGGAGAGAGAGAGAGATACAGACTGACAGAGAGACAGAGAGAGAGTAGCAGACAGAGTAGGAGACAGTGAAACAGAGACAGTGGGAGAGAGTGAAACATGAGAAAGAGTTTCAGAGACAGTAGGAACTGCAGATGCTGGAGAATCTGAGATAACAAGGTGTAGAGCTGGATGAACACAGCAGGCCAAGCAGCATCAGAGGAGCAGGAAGGCTGACGTTTCGGGCCTAGACCCTTCTTCAGAAATGGGGGAGGGGAGGGGAAGGGGGTTCTGAAATAAATAGGGAGAGAGGGGGAGGCGGATAGAAGATGGATAGAGGAGAAGATAGGTGGAGAGGAGACAGCCAGGTCAAAGAGGCAGGGATGGAGCCAGTAAAGGTGAGTGTAGGTGGGGAGTTAGGGACGACATAGGTCAGTCCAGGGAGGATGGACAGGTCAAGGGGGCGGGATGAGGTTAGTAGGTAGGAGATGGGCCTAACAGAATTGTAATTACCCTTCCCCCAATTATAAACCTTATCCTGTTGCACGGACATATCCTTTTCCATGACTATTGTAAAAGTAACAGAGTTATGATCGCTACCGCCAAAATGCTCTCCTACCAACAGGTCTAACACTTGGCCTGGTTCATTGCCAAGCACCAAATCCAAAGTGGCCTCTCCTTGTGTGGACTGGCGAGGTTGTGCACTTCTATCGGCATATCCAATAACTCATATGGTCCACTTGCTGCATTTTCTATTGACAAAACCAGCTACAGAGCCTGTTTGAAGTCCAGTTGGACTTCAGCTAGTTGGCACTTTTGCATTGTTACATCATTACTCTCACATACCAAATAGTCTTTCAGCATCTCATTCAGGGTTAAACCAAAATCACATGCCTGTGCCAGTTGTCTTAACCTCGTGAAAAATCCAGACACAGATTCCCCTGGTTCTCTAACTGCCGAGTAAAACTGATAGTATCATAGAATTGGAGGAGGCTTGTGTTGTAAATTTACTTAAGTAAATCCATCAACTCTTGATAAGTTTTACTACCTGGTGCCTCAGGAAATGTTAGACTCCCAATAACTGAGAAAGCTGTGGGCCCACAAACTATCAGGAGAATTACATGTTGCTTTTCATCTGCTCCAATGTCATTTGCCTGGAAAGGATAGTGCATTCTTTCCACATACTGGGCCCAGTCTTTGATGGCAGGATGGAATGAGTCATGCTTCCCAAATAGTGGCATGATGCCAGAAGTGCTTACCACAACTGACAGACAACTGTTGCAAATGAATTCTCTTCAGGAACATATTTATTTCCTTTTGTTGCTACTGAAATAACTCCACAGAAGCCGGTATCCCATCACCACGTCACCCTTTATTTACACGTGCATTATGATGCTGGTCCGGCTTCCTTAGGGCCAACTCTCAGAGTGAAAAGGATATCTGACACTCAGGTTTATATCTGTCAGCCAGGGCTCCCTGATTAGACCAAGCTGACAACCCCAATGAGGGAACCCATATTCCATGAGGCCCACCTGGCTGACCTTGTTACAATCACTGCACAGAGAGAGACAGGGAAAGACAGAGAGAGAGGGAAAGACAGAGACACAGGGCAAGGCTGAGAGACAGACAGAGAGAGATAGAAGGAAAGACAGAGACACAGACATGGAAAGACAGAAAGAGAGAGAACAAAGTGAATATAGGTGGGGGTGGACATAAAAAGCAACAGGGGTTCAGTTAGATAACTCATCTGTAACTTGCTCTCCAACTGTTGGACTCTGCTGATATTACATTTCCACATTTCCTGTACAGATTCCATCCTGACTAAGGATCCATGGTGAGCAGTGAATATGGGGCTGATCCTCACTCTCCTCCTTCCCTCATTAATCTGGATGGTGGAGCTGGGGCTATTGGATATCAGGACATTAACAATCAGGCAAACAGCTTCAGAATCTTCAATAATGATATACTTTCTGTTAATCCTTGTGTTAGAAATCTGACCTGATTTTTGTTTCACTTATGGAAGTTGAAAAACTTCTAAGTGTCTCTTCAACAGGTAGGGCATGATAAACGCTGCATTAAACACTTAATTAAAAATAGAAATTGGTACTATATTAAACTCCCAGAACTGTAAGCCTCTAAATATATCTCACCTGGCACTTTCACTTCAAATATTTGGAGTTTCAAATCCACTGGAACAAATTTCAACATCTTATCAAACAAAACCAGAAATTGCTCGAGAAACTCAGCAGGTCTGGCAGCATCTGTGGGGAGAAAGCAGAGTTAACATTTTGAGTCTGGTGTCCCTTCTTCAGAACTCACTGTCTCTCCTCTCTTCCCACTCCTGTCCCTCTCCCCACTTATCCCTCTTATCCCCATTCCTCTCCCTCCCACTGGAGGTTGCGTCATATGAATATATTCAAGGGTGTTAGACAGGTGTTTTGACGAACAAGAGAGTCAAGGATTAATGGTGGTAAACAGGGAAGTGAAGAACACAATCATGATCTTACTGAGTAGGACTGATGGGCTGAATGGCCTATTCCTGCTGCTACTTTTGTGTTCTCTCTTCCCTTGCCTCTCTTTTCCCATTTCTCTCCCCTCACCCTTATTGCTTCCTTGTGGTCCCTTCCCCTACCTTTCATTTCCAACCTCCCTTCACTCTCCCCCTTCCTCTGCCATCCCTAGCTCCTCCACTCTCTTCTCTTGACCTCCCTTCATGCTCTCCCTCTCTCTCTACTCCCCCTCTTCTCTTCTCTGCTCCATCTCACTGTTGAAGTACAAGCAGTTTCTTGGTAAAAATTGCTGCTTGCATTTCACAGTCAGAAATGATGTCCCTGATGGTGTAAAGAGGTAAACATCACAGTGGTCAGAGGGCTGTAGGGTAAAACCAATAAATGACTTAAGTTACTGGCAGTGATTTAAAGCCAGTTAAAATGTACAGGAGACTGCACAGAATGAGAGGGTGAGATAAATGGAACACAAACTGGTCACTAAGTAGAAGTCTGGCAGGTGTTCTTCCTGGTGTCTGCTGTTGCTAGGGTTTCCAGCTAGTGATGGGCATCCAAAAGGCTCATCAAGGTTCAGCAGTTTCACTGGATGCACAGGTTAACAGAGCTTTACTAATTCTCATGATATAACGATTGCTGATGAGGGCCAGCATTCCATGCAAACCCCTTGTTACCAATGAGAAGGTCATGGTCTCCCTTTGAACCGCTGCAGTCCATGTGCTGTGGGTATACTGTCAATGCTGTTAAGGAAGAAGAGACAGGACCGAGCGACAGTGAAGGAACGGTGAATTATTTCCAAGTTGGGATGGTGAGTGGCTTGCAGGGGAACTTGAAGGGGGTGGTTTTCCTATGTATCTGCTGCCCTTGCCCTTCTAGATGGAAGTGGTCGTGGGTTTGGAAGGTGCTGTCTGAGGATCTTTGGTCAACTTCTGCAGTGCACCTTGTATACACCATTGCTACTGAGCATCACTGCATCTTGTTCTAACTCAGAAATTCATGACTCTGGACGTATGACTCTTTGTGTTCTCCAAGCTCCCTCCCTTTCTAGACCCTTGAGCATTTTAATTGTTCAGCCTTGAAGTCACTTTTTGAGGGCAAAGGGATTGAAAAATATTTAACATCTCCAGCCTGCAGAGACCTTCATATTCCTTTGCCTGGTCTGCACCTCCTCCTCGCTGCCTCGATACTGTACATTAGCTCAGTGGGTGGAGCTCTGGGTTAGAGGTTTGTGGGTTCACATCCCTCTCCAGCCATAGAAACTCCTGCCTGATACACCAATGCAGTACAGAGGCAGTGCCGCACTGTCAGAGGTGCTGGCTCTCTGAAGACAAAAAGAGACCCCATCTGCCCTCTCGATTCAGAGTTTGCCCATCCTCCCCCATAAAGCTGCTTTCATCCAAATTTCTGTCTCCCTTCTCTTTAACTTGCACTGTGTCCTATTTGGCCCTGCACTCGCTGACTGTCTCCTCATTTCTCAACAATGACCAAGTAGTCTCCAATCACCTGGATTGTGATACACTAGATACTGCAACCAGGAAACTGCCTCATGTTGAGACCCAGATACAATCAGAATTTGTGACAACAGCCCATCCTCATGTTGAGGAGCACAATGTCTTCCCACTTGCCTGAAAGATAAGAACATTTTCCAGAACCAACACCCTGCCAGCAACACAGGGGCAGGAAGGTTTGAGCAAGGAAAGGAGACTGATGCTGAGAAGCATGAGATTAATTCAAAAGTTTTATTCTGCAAAAAAAACACATGTACGATCTATATTAGAAAGATCAAATGCCGAAATACTCAGCAAATGGGTATATAAACTGCAGGCCTGCTTTCAAAATGCAGCTCATCAGTCCTTCCCTCTGGGAAACAATTCATAAACCTGGCAGCAACAGGCCAGGAGTTAGGAAGGGGCCCAGACATTTCCATTGGTGTCAGGGGCATGTAGATATGGAATGTTCCAGATCCATGGCCGATCTACAAAAGACAGAGGAGACAGAAGTGACCAACTGCAGTAACAAGTAACATATACAACCTCACAAGGAGACCTTCATTCATGTGACAGCAGACAATTGGTGAAAAGAATCTGTTACTCTCCCTATTACCTCCCTTTATTCTTTTGTGGGATGTGGGAATCACTAGCGGAGCCAACCTTTGCTGCCTGTCTCTCATTGTTGTTGAGAGCCGTTAAGAGTCATTTGAATCATGTGAATCATTTATTGTCACATGTATTCAAAGTAAAAATACTGTGGAAAATGTGTACCTTTCCCATACATACATGGCCCCATTCATATTAACTTAGAATAAGACAAGGAAAAAAATAACTTAAGAGAGTCCATCTTTCCTTTTCACTGCCGCAGTCCTACTCCAGACTTTCCGGTGCTCGCCATGCTACCGCCGCCAGAGTCCTACTCCGGGCTGCCTCACTGGCCCCCCCCTCACCACCACTGCCTCACTGGCCCCGCCTCATCACCACTGCCTCACTGGCACCCCCTCACCACCACTGCCTCACTGGCTTGATCTCGCTGGCGCACTCCTGATCCGCTGCCATCACTCTGGCCCACACTCAATCCGCCATTGCTGTGGGACACAACCGGCGCACTCAGCTCCCGCAATGTGGTTCCTGGTCGTGACATGGCTCTTTCTTGACTCCTTAGGTAGGTAGTTAAAAGGGGTGCAGGGGGAGGATAGAATTACTACAGAGCAGAGAGAAGAAGGGAGGGAAAAAGGAAGGAAGGACAAAGAAAGAAATGGAAAGAGAACTGGCGAGCAGAGTGGAGCTCTGAATGGAGCGACTTACCCCGCTGCCATCTTGCTGGAGGAGACAAAGTCAGACAGTTTGCTGTGGGTCTGGAATCACATGTGGGCCAGGCCAGGGACAGGCAGCAAAATTCCCCTCCCTAAGGACATAATGAACACATTCCGAGGCTTATCACTGACCAGAAACTCAACTGGACCAGGCATATAAACACTGTGGTTCCAAGAGTAGGTCAGAGGCTGGGAATCCTGCAGAGAGTAGCTCACCTCCTGACTCTCCAAAGCCTGTCCACTATTGACAAGCCATAAGGCAGGAGTGTGATGGAACACTTCCCACTTGCCTGGATGTGTGCAGCCCCAACAACATTCAAGAAGTTTGACACTATCCAGGATAAAGCAGCCCACGTGATTGGCAACTACATCCACTCCCTCCACCACCGGCGCTCAGTAACAGCAGTGTGTACCATCTAGAAGACGCACTGCAGAAATTCCCAGAATTATTTCTAAAGCATCTTCTAAATCTGTAACCACTTCCACCTGGAAGGACAAGGGCAACAGATACATGGGAACATCAACGCCCGCAAGTTCCCTTCCAAGTCACTCACCATCCTGACTTGGAAATATATCGCCATTCCCTCACTGTTGCTGGGTCAAAACCCTGGAATTCCCTCCCTATCAACATTGTGGGTATCCCCATACCCCCAGGGACTGCACTGGCTCAAGAGGCAGTTCACCACCAACTATAAATGCTAGCCCAGCAGGTGATGCCTACATCCCACAAAGAAATAAAAAGAAGTAAGGAAACTGAAGGTGTAACAGGAGAAGGTGTGAATGTCAGTGACAGAATCATCAGCATCAGCTTACTGCCTGAAAAATTGAAAGCAACCGTTTTGAGCTGAAGTTGGTGAAATCATTTGCGTAATTGTGACGTGTTACCATGGCCTGACTGTCTGAACATTCAGCACTTTCCACTTTTAGTTTACCTGTTTGGTTGGTAGCAGAGTATAATCCCTGTCATGAATTAATGTGTTTGAGGCTCTTCACTAAGGTGCACACATCAGCTGCTGTTAGGGAGCAGTGCTCATGTTGTCACTACACTGCTGGCGTTGTGACGTCAATTTTGATTCAGCGAGTGTTAACTTGCCCGGAGTCATAACCTCGTGGGTTCACGTCCCAGACTATAGACTTGGGCTCACGATCAAGGCTGACTCTCCCAAGGCAGTACTGAGTTAGTGCTGCACAGTCAGAGGTGCCATCTTTCAGAAACTCCTGGTGGATCTAAATGATCCTGTGACAGCATTCTGAAAGAAGAGCACGGGGTGTCCGATCTTTATCGCTCAGCACTGAAAGAAAAATCAGGAATTTAAATCACTGCTTTTTTGTGGGATTTTGCTGTGAACAAATTGGTTGCTGCATTTCCATCACAGACCTGACTGCACACCCAGAAGTAGCTAATTGGCTGTAAAGAACCTCAGGGAGTGGGGCTATACAAATGCAAGTCATTTCTCGGCGCTAAGCTCTCACTTGTTAAGAGCTTGGTGCCAACACAGAGGGAAGTGTGAAATGTGCCGGAGTCTGGTGTCTCTGGAGCTGGAGGTGATGAACCCAAAATTCAGAAATTAAATTTAAATGGAAAAGACTGAGGCTGCTTTCCCAGCGAAGTGGCAGAACCAGGCAAAGTGCATAAAAATAATCAATTTCGACTGAAATGAACAGCCTCTGTTACTGTGGGTGGAAATGGGAATTTCAACAAGTGAATTTAAATGATCTGTTGCTATGAGAATTAGAATATATTGCAATGAAGACGGAAGAAGAACATTTTTCTCAAAGGCACATTTATCGGTTTGCTTGTGTATAGCAAGTTGACCATTACCACCCACTCTCACTGACCTATTTTGGCACCTTTCAACAAACGAAAGAAATGTATTTTAAGATGGCATGTGGAGCCAAGAAAGGGAATGTGCTCACACACTTCATGACGGTCCCAGTACTAAATTAAACAGCAAGCAAGGATTTGAAGGAACTCATGAACTGAGAAATGGAGTTGGAAACTACAGAGTTCCTTCAAACAGCTATCGACGGAAGCTGAGGAAGGGTCACCGGACCCGAAACGTTAACTCTGATCTTTCTTCACAGATGCTGCTAGACCTGCTGAGCTTTTCCAGCAACTTCTATTTTTGTTACCAAGGGAAGGTCCTGTCTTCCCAGGAACGAGCAGTCAAGGAAATAATGGTACCTCAACCTTCAGGAAGGATGTTTCCGCCTGGCTGTGGGGCCATGAACCCAGGGAACATTTTCAGAATAAAAGGCAAGCTATTCTGGACTGAGATGAGGAGGAACGTCTTCGCTCAGAGGGTGGTGAATCTTTGCCCCTGAGGGCTATCACTAAGTCCAAGAGAGGGACTTATAGATTTCTAGTTACCTAGTTATTACCTTATAGTTACTAGTCACTAACTTTAACCCTATATTCTCGCACTATCACCAAAGACCTGAGGGGCTGAACGGCCCACTCATGTTCAGGAAACCTCTCCCTCCTCTAAGACGTTTCTTAAAAAGGTCAGATCTTTCCAATTTTCATTGACTAAGCATTTTGACTGTCTGACCCAATGCCTCCTTAAATGGCCAAATATCAGAAAACAGGAGAACTTTAAAACATTTCATTACATAAAAGCTGCTGTCTATTGGGACCTAGGAACTCACAGGGCTATGGACAGAATGCAGATGGTTGGACGAACCACAGCTGGTCTTTCACAGCATCAAGGCGGGTACAATGGGCTGAACGGCCTTCTTGTGTGCTGTACATTTCTGTTCCATCTATGATTCTACATAAATACAAGTTATTCGTGTTTTATTGCTGACAACATTAATACATGTTCAGTCTCATTCTATTCCACTTGATGTCATTCAATCTCACTGGGTACAGTTTGAGGGACTAGCCTCGGTCCTATAGTCTCTTGTTGCAGTGACAATGGTTGCAGATCAAAGAACCCAACGAAAAGGTGGGTTTTGGGCAGCATTGACCTCCCAGCTGTCCTCCAACCACATCGAGTTGGATCGGGATCAGAGTGCTAATTATTACAAGAGCAAATTGCTGCTGATGCTGGAGATCCGAAATACTGCAATGCTGGAAATACTTGTCAGGTCTGACAGCTTCTGCGGAGAGAGAAACAGAGTTAACACTTCCAGTCTCGTATGACTCTACTCAGTTCTAAAGGAGAGTCAGACCAGACGTGAAACATTAACTCTGTTTCTCTCTCTCCACAGATGCTGCCAGACCTGCTGAGTTTCTCCAACACTTTCTATATTTGTTTCAGATTTCCAGCATTCACAGTATTTTGCTTTTATACTGTTAAGGTGAAAGTACTATTTTACTGAAATATTTATTTCGTTATTTTTCTAATTTATTACATGATTTCATACTTTTGAATTTCTGTAATGCTGGACATTTTATTTCTTTACTTTTTCTAATTTTTTTTCCCTGGGAATTTGTATTCAAGAATCTGTACCACGGTACTTTTGAATCTAAGATGGTGCCGTAAGTGGACTTGTAAACTTTTCACTGTATTCATTCGTGTACATGTGACAATAAAGCTAATTCAAATTCAGTTCAAAATCTCTGATTCACTTGGAAGAATTTGTACAGTGTTGGTCACCACACTTTTTTTGTTCTTTATTCATTCACGGGATGAGGGCGTCGCTGGCTAGGCAGCATTTATTGCCCATCCCTAATTGCCCAGAGGGCAGTTAAGAGTCAACCACATTGCTGTGGGTCTGGAGTCATATGTAGGCCAGACTAGGTAAGGATGGCAGTTTCTCTCCCTAAAGCACATTAGTGAACGAGATGGGTTTTTCCAACAATTGACAATGGATTCACAGTTTCTTAATTCCAGATATTTTATTGAATTCAAATTCTACCATTTGCCATGGCAGGATTTTAACCTGCATCCCCAGAACATTATGTGGGTCTCTGGATTAACAGTCCAGAGGTAATACCACTAGGCCATTGCCTCCCCCTCCAGAAGAATGTGGGAATACTGTGTGGAGCTGCAGGAGCAGAGCAGGTCAGGCAGCATCAGAGGAGCAGGAAAGTTAACCCTTCAGAAATGGGGGAGGGGGAAGGGAGCTGGGGAATAAATAGAGAGAGGAAGGGTGGGGCTGGGGAAGGTAGGTGGGATGGTGATAGGTGAGTGCAGGTAGGGAGTGATGGGGTTTGGTCAGTG